GTATTCTGTAATCTGTAGTGGAATACATTTTAAAAGTAACCTTCCCAACACTGTTTGGCACACAGAGAAATTTCAAGCTTTAATAAGTGTAGTTAATTTATGGAAATATCGACTTTGTCACTGTAATAAGCATCATGCAGATTGCTTCATAAGGGGAAATATAAAAAAGAAGAGATATGGGGGACAAAAAAACACTGACTTTGGAAACCCATTGAGTTGTATTTGATGCAGACTTTACCATGAAGTCAGGTATAAAAACATCAAAACCATCTGAAACAAAGCAATGATATTCACACAAGAAATGTATTGTAATAAGCAAAGATTTCCCCAGGAAAAACTAGCAACTCGCCACAACAAGGCAGCCATTTTGGATATGGAATTCAAAGTACAGTATGCAGACTGTCCACAAGGGGGCAGTAGAGAGCATACACTTCAGTTTGTATTTTGTTTTGTTTTGAGTTGGTAGGAGGAGCATCCACTAGTCACTAGTCACAAGCAATGTTCCCTCTAATTTTTCATGTGTCTGAGCGACACACAAACTCCCGTAGCAGTCCTTTGGACCACTGTGAGCAACAGCAGACGTGTGCACTGTGGTCACGCCAGCATCGAATCCATCCAAGTACATGGTTTATTAAAATAATCAAATTACAGACAAGCATGGGGTAGTCACGCTTTCCCTTAGCTCCCGCAACTTTTAGTTATTTGAGCAAGCCCACCTAACTTATCTTTTGAGGCAAATATCTTGGTGATTTGGTGAAGCCGTCGGAGCATTTGATGCCCTGTCATGTCGCCTAAACCTGCGAAGTCGAATGGTAAAACAACCAAATGCGCGGCTGCTAGCGTTCCTGCGAATGTTAGCAAAGCCGACATAACAGCACTGCTAGCGGAGCACCGTTCGGCTTTACTGGCGGAGCTAAAAGTCAGCATCGGACAACCATGGTGAGTGCCTAGAATCTTTGGAGGAAAGCGCTGAACCGCTCGACCAGCACCTTGCTAAAGTGGAGGATACCTGTGAGACACTACGGGTCGCTAATGAAAAGCTGAAGGCTAAGCTATCGGACACTGAGTTGAGAAACAGACGCTGCAATGCCCGTTATCGGCCTGGAGGAAGGGATTGAGGGTCCACAACCCTCTAAGTTTTTCTCACAATTGTTGCAAGACGTTTTTGGGAGAGACATTTTCCCCTCTCCCCCCGAACAGATCGTGCACACCGTATTTCGGCCCCCAAACCGGCCCCCGGAGGCAGACTGCGGCCCGTCATTATCTGTTTTCACCACTACCAAAACAAGGAGCTGCTAATACGAGAGGCTAGGAGGAACGACCTGAAGTATATGGATAAACCATTCCGAGTCTATGAAGACTACAGCCCTGAGGTGGTGAGCCAGGGGAGAGAATACAGGTCGGTGATGTCAAGCTTGTACAAGATGGGCCTGAAACCATCACTGCTATACCCGGCGCGACTACGCATTGTTAAAACAGATGGTGTACGCCTCACATTTGGCTCTGTGGCTGAGGCCGAAAGGTTTGTGCAAGACTCCATGGAAGACTGAACTGTTCGGACTTCGGACGACTGTTACGGCACATTTAACTTCATTTCTTTTTCTTTATTATTTTTTGGCGTGACAGTGCAATTATTTTACACATATTTTGAATGGTGGACTTCACCGGTGTACACCTGGTGGGTCTTATTCCAACCTTTCCACTGCGGGCTTAAGGAGCTTTAGGTAGGATAGTTATAGAAGTTTTTCAGTTAGATTGGGTAGGTGTGCTGTTTGTTCTGACAGCTAGTGTCACCTGGGGGTTCACGGGGTTTCTGGGAGGGTTTCTGTGTTCGACTGTCCAAGTTAAGAACCAAGTGTTTTATGTTTCTTGTCTGAGCAACCAGCTAAAATTTTTGATATATTTTCAATGGTTACCTCTATTGACTTAGTGACCTGGGATGTTAAAGGCCTGAACCATCCTATTAAAAGAAAGAAGGTTCTCACTCACTTGAAAAATATGGGTGCTGATATAGCCTTTATCCAAGAAACCCATCTTAAAATGTTAGATAATACTCGTTTAAAATGTAGTTGGGTGGGGCAGCTCTTCCACTCACATTTTACAGCGAAGGGAAGAGGTGTAGCAATATTGGTAAATAAAAGGGTTCCTTTTACCCCTTCTTCGACTCTGGCTGATTCAAATGGACAATACGTTATAGTATCAGATCAATTTTTAATATTAGTGTTACATTAGCAAATATATATGGCTCAAACTATGATGACCCCAATTGTTTTTTCACACGTCCTCGGCCTCCTGCCTTGTTTGAATACCCATTTACTTATTATGGGTGGTGACTTTAATTTGTGCTTGGACCCTGGGATGGATAGATCGCCTGTAAGAACTGGATACTCGACAACAAAGTCCGCTTCTTATTTACAGTCCTTTTTTTTCAACCTACGGCATCTTGGACATTTGGCATTTTTTACACCCACAAGACAGACGATATTCCTTTTTTTCAAATGCTCATCAAATCTACAGTAGAATTGACTTTTACTGATAACAAACTAACCTCTCTTGTTAAGTCATGTGATTATCAGCCTATTGTAATATCTGACCATGCGCCCTTAATATTGACACTGCACATACCCGGTATGGAGTCTCCTAAACGGATGTGGAGATTCAACTCTCTTTTGTTAAGTGATAAAAACTTTATAGAATTTATTTCAGATCAAATTACCTACTTTTTGGAATTTAATTTAACTTCCATCTTAAGGCTTATCTTCGCGGCCAGGTTATATCGTTTACAGCTAATAAGAAATCCTGAATTCAGACTATAAAATACTAGCAAAGGTTTTGGCCAACCGACTGGAAAAAGTTTTACCCAACATAATCTCTTCAGCTCAGACTGGTTTTATTAAAAACAGGCACTCCTTTTTTTAGTATTCGTCAACTACTTAATATAATGTACACCCCCAGTCAAGCTGCTTCCAAATGCCTTCTCTCCATGGATGCGGAGAAGGCTTTCGATTGAGTAGAATGGGAATATCTATTCGAGGCCTTGCAAAGATTTGCGTTTGGAAGTTCCTTTTTATCCTGGGTGAAATTACTCTATGCCTGTCCTTCAGCTATGGTACTCACTAATAACTATTATTCTAAACCGTTACGCTTACATCGTGGAACCCGTCAGGGCTGTCCCCTCAGCCCCCTCCTTTTTGTATTAGCTATTGAGCCGTTGGCAATAACTATAAGAAGTAATCATGCCATTCAATTCAAATTTCGCGATATGGAACTGAGCTATCAGCACTATCAGCACGATTGCAGTGGACCCGTGTGGGTAGAAATGGAGAAGCTCTCTTCTGGTTCTTTCTTGCTATTGTCTGTCGTAGGTGCATCTGTCCTGTTACCCAAAAGCCTGACAATTGAGAATCCTTTAGTTAATAATACTATCCAAATTTACTTTCAGTTTAGAAAATATTTTAATCTTCTGAAGATGTAATGGATGACATTATGTGTTTTAACCCGGTTAAGAAAAAGGCCATATCATCAATACTTGTTCTGATTTTGCGCCTGGGTTCTTCCTCTATGTCTGCAATTAAGCGATCCTGGCAAGAGGATCTTAAAATCTGTATTACTGAAGCAGACTGGGGCAATGTTTTAAGTAATATTCACTCATCCTCCATGTGTGCAAGACATTGCCTTCTGCAGTTTAAAATAGTGCATAGAGTACATCTCAGCAAATCAAAATTGACAAAGATGTATCCTCAGATTGACCCAACGTGCGAAAGATGTAAATTGGCAGAGGCCACCTTGATCCATATGTTTTGGTCCTGTCCCAAAATACAAAAGTTCTGGACGGATGTCTGTGAGGCTTTGTCATGCATATTTGGAATGAGAGTGTCACTCAATCCACTTTTATTTTTATTTGGGGTCAATTCCGATGGTCTGGCACTACCGGCAGGGGGTCAAAGACTTATTGCCTTCTCTACACTATTGGCAAGACGACTAATACTTTTGAAGTGGAAGGACGCAGCCCCGCCCACGGTTTTTATTTTAATTTTTCTCCCCTCTTTTACTTTTATTTCATGTTTTGTATTTTTGTATTTCATTGTGAAAAATAATAAATATATTAAACACCAAAATAATCAAATTACAGCATTTACATTTATGTTAGACTACTTTTAATTAACTGCTTTATCCCACTTACAATGAAAAA